TATTTAAACAAATTTTTATTAACTTATTGTTAGTACAACACAAAAAAGTATAAGAACCAAAGCTAAGTGATTGTGCTAAATAAAATGTTATAACGCTATTCGATTACATATAGGATATGTTACAAATATATATTATGTTCATATTTATCATATATGAAAATCGATACTATATTATTGATTGTGATTATATTGTCATTAATTGATTGTTAATAAACACATTACCTATAGGCCTGTATTCAGAACGCATTTTTATTGATAAAAACGCTTTAAATATGTAGTTTACGTTACATATACTATATGCTTAAAAGCGCTTTTATAAAGATGTGTTTATAAAAGTTATCTGAATGTTAAAAAAGAATGACGACGAGCACACAGTTTACTATCTACGAAGATCATAAATCTACAATATTTTTTTATTATAAAAGATGCAATATGTAGGAATATAACATGATTAATAAGACCTGATTTAAATTTATTCGCATGCGAGAAGAGAAAATTCTAAGTTAAAAATATACGTTAAAATTCAGTTACTCTTGCAAGCACGAGAAATGGCTAAAAGGGATACTACTGCAACTATAATTCAAGGAAGGCATCCGCCTTGGCAATCTGTGGTAACATTCCGTATAGTTTCAGCTTGGGTATGCCGTTTTCAGTCTAGCATCATTACACATAATTTATAATGATCACACAGGGCACTTTACTTGCTTCGCGGCCAATACAGGAAACTTATCGTCATGCATCTGAAGAGAACAGACGTCCAAATAGTCTAAACTCTCAACATAGTTTCAATTTTCAACACAGAACTGCATATCATCAATCTCAGATTTACTTACCGTGAAAGTTCAACCCCTCTAGCTTGTATTTTAAGTCTATTATACTTCGTTAAGATAAACATAATTTTACTCAACTTTGCCGTACAGTGGGAGTTATTAAAGGCAATGTTTTTTTAAATGGTGTGATAAAAAAACAAACATTAAGTAAAATTAAGTTTAATTTTCCAAAATTAAAAGAATATAACTATCTATTAAATGTAGTATATAATAAATAAATAAATAATTTATTTATTTTTTATATTTTAAAATTATAATAATTTTTATTACTTATTAAATTTATCGAACTTTTTAAAACTTTAGTTTCCATGCTTCTTTACAAAATAATGCAATAAAAAGCAGTAAAATATAATGACCGTGACTTTGGAAACTCATGAAATAAATAATTGAAAAATAGCAAAATAAAAAAGACAATCTTTTATATAAATAAAGCTATACCTATCTAGATTAATTGCACATAACACTGTATTTCATAAAATTTCAAATTTACGAATATAAGTACATTTTATTTTTATAAAACTATAAATCGTAACTTCTCTTAACTCTTTAATAAGAATGAATAAAATATTGATACATATTGATAAAACTACATGAAAATTTTAAATTACTTTCTTCAAGTTCTAGTTAGTATATCACTCTCATTTATTTCTACTAGTTTTTCCATTATTTATAACACAAACATAGTCACGAATTAAATAGTACCGACAAACCGCTGTGTAAGTGTTATCTTCCGAAGCAATTTATACACACCGTTATCCAACCTTCCTCGACAACTTGCATATGTCGCGAGTTCTCTATGTGACTTGCCCTGTTCCCCTGAGCTGGAATAGCTTGACGCCACGAGCCGCTAGTTAGAGGGAGAGACCCCCCTCGGGCCTCAGAAATTCATTCGTGAAACATTCCACATAATTTCGTGTCGGCAACACTGTTTTCGGCACGCATACCGCCGCGTCGCACGCGATTTAGAATACTCGGCCCGCGAAATCATCGCCGGTGTTGTCAGGATTATTCGCGACATGATCCTATTGCGAATGTCCCGTACTCTTCCGCAGATTGCAAGCTCGCGTACGGTGTAATCACTCGACGTGAAAATTTATGCAAATTATAATTCACGTAAGTATCGTGCTTCTACGTTCTGCAGATTTTTTGTTTTTATTTCTTATTTTGTCGCCTAAGATTTAAGGATTTACAATTAGATATGTAAAAAGAAAATTTCTCTTAGAAAAAAATAAAGACAAAAGATGTTAATAAATGTCAAGCACAAGAGTTGATATCTAATTTTTTGTTATATTCTTATTGTTACGAAAAATGTCAAAAAAATCGATTAAGATGATTTTATTACACGTATTATTTTTATAAAACTGTAAATCATAATTTCTCTTTTATGTGTTTTAATAAAAATGGATAAAATATTGGCTCATAAAATTATATGAAAATTATAAATTTTCTTAAAGTGCTATCACATATCTCTTTCTTATTTATTTCTACTAGTTGTTTTTTATTATTTATAATTTATAACACAAACATTTTTATGAGTTAAATAGTATCGACAACCTGTTGCATTATTTTTTGAATCTATTTATACCGTTATACTTAAGAGGGTATTCTAGTCTAGCGGATCGGAAAAATCGATTTTTTTTACATATTTTGCAAGTATTTAGAAAATATGTCTGCAAAAGGATTTAGCCCGATTTGCAAAGTTAACAAAGTTATAGGCCGGTACTCGTAATCGATTCTTATATTTGAGATGGTCTTAAATATTGTCTTAAGATGTTACAAGTCAATAAACAGAGCCATATTAGCATCTTAAGACATTACTTAAGACGGTTTTGAAATAAAAATCGACTTATGAATACCGGCCATAGCACTTGATAGAGAGTGGTCTTAATCTATGTAATCATGTACAAAAAATTTTAAACGCTTTTTTCTCGAAACCACGTTTTTCAAATTGGTACTCATAATATCTCGAAAACCAATTGACCAATCAATTCGGGCTTGTGCACATATCTTCAGCACATTCGTGGCTATAGCCCCTACCTCGATCAAGTCAAAATATGTTTTCTTTTTAATTTTTACAACCCTTTAGAGTTGAAAAAAATGATAAAAATTTTAAATTAATTTTCAAAATGTCAATTTTTAAATTTTTAATATTTTATTTATGTTCTGGTACCAGCTATAGCCAAACTTATACTAATTAAGAATTTATTTGATTTTTTGTTTTAAATGAGCAGAACAGCCAGAATTATGGGTACCGTGAACCAATCTTTTTTTTCATGACCTCAGTATATATTGTATACAGCGCTTACAGTTATTTTTAAATATTTTGAAACATGCTTCAAATATGTATAAATATGTAGGAAAAAATCCCGTCCCAAAAAACTTTATACTTTCTTTTAAAAAAATTCGCAAAAATAGCATAAAAATTTGACCTTTAGACTAGAATACCCCCTTAAATAAAAAAACAATTATAGTTGTTTTTATTTGTCTAAAGGAGTGTTTTAGGAAAAAAGCAAAAATATCGATATCACGATAAGGAGGATTCTTGAGTGAAAAATCTACAGATATATTACAGAAATCGCGATTGATCTTTGTAAGGATCCCGCGTTTTAGGTACAAGTTATGTGGCGGGTAGCCAGATTCCAGACTTCTGGTGGGCTGCAGTTATAAACGTGGCATTTCATTTAACGTGGCCTCTCTCGTCACCTAATAGTAATAAGCGCTCGTGTATCGCCATCATCGCAGATTTAAATATCGTCCGCTACGCCATGCTAATGCTCTATCTTAAATGGAATGGGGATGTAGATGACGTTAATTGTTATTGCGCGCATTAATTGTCTCTCATCTCGAAGTGATTCCGGCTGTTCATAATTAGCAGCCGTAACGAGCTGTATATACGACTCATAGTCTCGCGAGAGAGTGGATCGGAACGGAAATCGATCGAGATAGTGAAATATCCGCTCGATCGTGGAGTCTTAATCCGGGCAATGATCCGTTGCGTGCGGCCTTTAATTGGTCAGCCCTCAATGAGCTTGATATTACGGATCCGGCGATAAGACTGCATGTGCAGACTCAAGGAATGTACGTTGTAAAAAGGATGAACTTGCGAATTATGCGAGATGATAACGTGGCTTCCGTTAAGTTTAAAATTTTTTTTAATGAATAAGGTTTGCTTTTATGCAATATACATAATGTTTTTTCTTACTGGCGTGCTAATTTTCAAAAGAACTAGAAAGCTAGCCATTAAAAGAATATACTACTATAAATTATGTAACAATTTAAAAAACATCGCGTGTAAATCAGATCTAATTTTACGTTAAATTAGTTTAACGTTTATTAAAAACATTTCAAAATAAAAATTTTAAATCCAAATTTGATTTATTAATTTTACTGTAAAAAGTAAAATTGTTGGAATAATTTAAAAGTAAATCGAGAATGGTGTTACCAAAATATTAAAATTTTTTTGCTCTAATTATATTTTTATAATTATAACTTTTATTAGTTGTAATTTAGATATGCAAAAAGATAGGAAACATAATTTTTTAAAATTTATAGATATTTTTATTTTCTCAATTTCTTAAATTTAAGAGATATTCCAAAAATTTATAATATTTATTGACTAAGAATATACTATAAATCACAATGATTTTTTTATAAATGTCTCATTTTGTATTTACTATTTTTTTAAAATTGTTTTAATAAACTTATAAAAAATACACTTTGTCCATCTATTTATAAAATATTTATATTTTATAAAATATAAAAAAGTATTTAGAAAATATTTTCTGTTTTGATGAATGACTGAAAAATCTTCAGTGAGAACCTTTCGTATTTTATTCTGTTAAGGGAAGAAAATTTAATTTTTACTTGTATTTTAAAAATTAACAAAAAAGGCCTTGAAGAAAAATGCTAAACAAAGAATAACACTGTTTACGAGCGTCTAATTCGGCCCCACCTGTGCTTGAGCGTGCGCGCGCGCAAGCACTTATGAAACCTGCGCGGCACGCGGCTCGGCGACCAGTCCGATTCCTCGTCGCAGTGCGATACGGTCGATAGAAGCAAGCCACGTAGTGTATAGCCACGGTGGTTGCATTGAGAATTGCAGTAACGAATGCGACGACGCTACCGCATGGTATATACGAGGGTCACCCCCAAGCACCACGGATCACTTTACGTGTTTCTCCCCTCTTGTTGTCAGGCCGAGCTCGTTCATTCCGCTCGTGGATGCTGAAGAAGTCGCGACCACGTGAACGAAACATTATACAGTTAATTTCGGAATGTTCATCGTGGAGTGTTCATCAGTATATTATTATTCAGTAAAACTTCACTATGTGTGGTGCAAAGAATAATTTTTGCATGAAAAAACTGTGTATAGTTTTACAATTGTATTAACTGTTTTATACAAAGAAACGTGTTTTGCGAGTTAATCGAAAGTTTTTGCGATACCTTTTAATAATTCCGCTTTTGCAAAAGTTCAAGATAATTCAGTTTTTTTCCATTGTCTGCTATCGACCTCGGGGATACAATAGTCGTATGGAAATTTTACGCATTTATATGAGTTACTAAGGCTCATTATACCTGGCAACTTGGAAAACAAAAAAGGCATTTCCAGAGTGTAAAGAATCTTTAACGAGACCGCGGACAATCGGTCGTCGGAGAAATCGGAAACGACCGATTCATCACAGTCACGTGAATATCTTTTATCTGCAAGCTGGTTGACAATTACGTTGACAATTGAAAGAATTTTGGGTAGATCGATCGTTTCAGACAATTGCTCAGAGTGGGACCGTAACACAATCGTAATTACAAACTTGGGGCAAGAAGAAGGTGTATAAACGAGTATAAGAAAGAACCGAATTGAAAAAAATAAGAGGAAGAAGGTGTATAAACAAACACGCTTGAACGAGCATCAGTCAACTATAAAGTCTCGAACAGAAGCGTCACCTTTACCGTGACATTGGATACTGCTGTGAAAGCTGTTTACGTATCAAGCCGACGTTGATATCGGAATTCACGAATTCACGTCACGTTACGACTTTTCGAATCGTGACACGAGGGACCACTAACCTTGAAAAGAGACACGTTCCTCTCTTACTTCTGGTTCCGGATCGTCGAACGATAAATTACGATTTGCATCGGAAAGTTCGCGTGCATATCTGCTGATTCAAAATAATGCCGGCTACGTCAAAATTTTTGAGTTCATTTTCCACGGGATATCGCGAAGATACATCTTCCTCTCAACTTGAAGGGATTACGCGCGCGTGCGGGTTGCAGGCTGCAACTTAAAAAAAGTGGAAGTTCGAAAGACGTGGATGTAGAAACGAAGTACTCTATTCTGCGAAGTATCGATCGACCTGCATCTTGAAGAGGATGCTCCCTTCGGTCTCGTAGAAATTCTCGTTGTAGTCACGTGTCGCGACGTGGAACGGCGACGATAGACGCAGCGCGAGGAGAAAACCGAGGACGGAGATAGTGAGTGGGCGAGCAAGGAAGAGAGACATATATTTTCCGACAGGCGACACCGCGACGCCGCCATGGAAAATCGATTCGTCGCCACCGACCACCACCCCGCCGCAACCACCCGTCGCAGTGCAATGACCTCCAAACCGGGAAGATCTTACAGCGTGAGGTAAATATTGCAGTATAAGCTTCGTAGTAGGAATCGGTAGCGTCCGTGGCGGAAGAAAGGGCGGGAAAGTGATGAGTTGACTGAAGAAGCTTTGGCCCCCTCGTAGAAAATAGCTACGAACTTCACGCGGTATCTCGACGTCTACGACTTTCGCAACGTTTTTCTCTATTTTACTTCCGGCCTCGGCTTTCCGAGAAACGTTTTTAAACCTACGGCTTTATCGCTTTCTTTTCTTTTTTCTTTTTTTGACAGAAAATAAAAGCATCAGCTTCTCTTGTGAAGCTGATGTTTTACACGCGGTATAGCCTCGTTAAGATAAAATGCAGTGTGTTGTGTCAACATTTTATTTTACTGTATACTTATTGTTCAAGTGTAATTGTATAATTTATAATTGATTAATTTTATTAATTATAGTGAATATTTTATAATACTAAATAATTAGATTTTTTAAGACTTTTTGAAAAAATTGCATTTGATATTTTTAAAACTTGTTTAAAAAAATTATAAAAATATATTTTGATGGTAAAGAACATATATCCATTAAAAGTTTATTTCTTTTTATTTTTTAAAAAAATTTGAAAAATTGTGCGCGCGCGCGCGCGTGTGTGTTTTAATTGTTATTTGCTTAAAAAGATGTATCAAGTTGGTTTTTCATTTTTTAATGTATTAATTCATTATTTGTATAACAAGAGTGGAAAAAACTAATTGTAAGTCAAAATTAAAGTATCTTTCATTTATCTTTATGTTAATTTCGTGCAGAAGAAATAATAAAATGGATTTGCATTTTGCTAATTGAAGGTAAAGAAACTTTTGCGCTTCTTCTTTTTGATTCACTTTTGTTCGTGCTTTTCGAGATCGGGTTTAAGCTGGGCGTTCTAAAGCTGAAGACAAGGTCATCTCTTTCGCAGCACGACGTAAGCACGCTGCAAGAAAAATGCATCTTTTAAATGCAGCATCCATAATTCGCGTGTGCGTAAGCACGGCTGTCGCAGAACACATTGATTCTTCATTTAGAGTGCGCATAAAGAGACTACTCTTACTGTACTCTTTGTTGCTAAACACGGTTATCTGATTTTAGACGTCGTTTCGTATACATCCGAAATGACGTGTACGCGTATATCTAAATATATTTTTGGATACACACAATGTCAGATAAAAAAATATACACGGTCGCATTTAGTGTTAAATGAATGGCAAGAGTGGGAGCTAAAATCACGCGAGTATATATACTCATTGTAAATTTAGCGTTGAATGTAATCATTCGGAGTTTTAAGTTTTATTTGTTTGGGAATATCACGTTTGTTGACATACAAGAGATAAGATAGTGTATCTACCTTTGCTAAAAAAATATACAATCGAAATACAAAGCAAAGCCGTTCGTGGACCTAATGTGCGTTTTCTGAACTCGCGCGTCGTATTGATTCTTCCAGAAGAATTCGCCGGCGGACGAATTGCGAGATAACTGACGGGCATAGTTATTACTCCAAACTCAGAAACTTCTTTGTGCACAAATGCGTCTTTGAATTCTCTTGCATGGGAATTAAAATCGCCGCCCTTTGCCGGAGATCTTGTTGCGTAAATGAACGTAAAAGAAGCCTCGCCACGCATTTGTAAACTGCTTGCAAACAGCTTGTAACGTTGCATTATACATATAAAACGGTCTGCGATCGTTGAGAAGGATAACGTTTGCTCTTTAATCACGGATTTAATAATTACAGCGTTCGATGTCAAAAATGCGAAAGCGGATAATAAGTTGGCCTGCGGAACATTAATTATAATATTACACGGTAAACGAATTAACGTAATAATTAAATGGTAACGTGGTCTTTAATTAAAAAAAATAGTTATAGCTCAATGGAGTTAATACAAGATAACTTGCCCTTTCGTGCAGACTATCGATTTTCTTCGTGTCTGATGACTGATTATTTTCTTCATTCTTATATAGTTGCAACGTGACTTTGCAGTTTTCACTTTTCACGTTGTGCTTGATCTAAATAATTAAATATTGCAAACACGAATAAAGAATAAGCAACATTTGTCAAAAATTTTGGTTGCCATATTATTATATTGTGCTGAATCTAAAAAAATATTAAATTTATCATATTTTCTCGTTGTAATTATTTTTTCTTCTGTATAATTACTGCGTTTATTTTGGTACGCACATAAAGTTTTTTTTAAATGAAAGATAATTTCCTGGAAATATGGCAGTTTATTACGGCCAATTTATTACATCGAATTTTTTATACGTTTACGGAAGACTTCAGCAAGATGCTCGGATGATTGATGGGATGTTGTATAAAGATTACTTAAAAAACGGCGATTAACAATTTATCTTGCCACCCACTGATCGAAGTTGCTCGATGATTGGACATGAGATGACGACAGCTGGGAACTACAAGAAAGATCGTTTCTCACTAATTGAACGTTGCACGATTTTCAGTGGCAGCGCGGTGTAGCCCGGCTTTATTAAGATTAAATCATGATTCACCTTCATCAAGCTCACCAGACATTATTTCGGATTCGAGTAGTATGCTTCAGAGTGCTAGATCACCTACTTTCGAGGCCTTCGGAGCGATTTAAGAGGATTTCATTGTAACCGGTAACGGCGGGTTTCCGCCGTTTGTTCAATGCGCGCCGCGCGACGATGTGAATATTTTTTTAACGAAACGTTATGCAACGCAATTGAATACGAAGACGTGATGCGTACAAAAATAAATGTGAACGGAAGAAGAAACGAAATGGAGATTTGAGAATGAATAGAATACCAAAACGGATCATTTTTCACGATAGGAATGAATTACTACTGCAGCATGCATAATGCAATTTATCTTGAAGACGAAATAAAATAACGAGATAAAGTGTATTTTAGTTAAAGTACATTGCAAAAGAAGGACGTATGTATACACACGAATAAAATCGAAGTACCGGAAGTTACACTTGTTAGCGCTAATGAAATATTTATATTTCTCTTCTGACGATTAATTAATGAAATCAAGTATAAATTTCAATAAATTACTACGAAATTTAATTTTCACAAATTACGTAGGAAATCTTCTGAGAGATGTGCACGCGCATCAGTTTAATGTCGAAAGCAATGTACCATTAATCACGCAATGAGTGTTATATCTCGTACGTTAAAAGGTACATGTCGCAATTACATAAAAAGGAAAGGACGTGTAACCACGCGGACTGTCGCACATGTGAATAATTGCCTCGAGATTGCCGCATTAGTGTGTTCGGAATATCACATTCTCTGAGACACTTTTATTTTCATATATATGAAGTGTTCCAGGAAACTCCATGTAATTATACATATATATATTATTTTATCAATCTAAAATTAATTTGCCAAATATTAAATAGTTTTTGTCAATAATTTTTTAATTACAATTAACAAAAGATTTTTCAAAAAATAAGTTTCAGATAAACGAAATCTAATTAAGTTGTTTACTTACTATTTACTTAGTTGTTTATTTTTAGGCATCATTTAAATCTAATTCTTAATGAAATGCCAAAATATCTACGGTATTGAATATCAAAATATAAAAATATTACAAGCGTTGTTCCTTAAAACTTTCTCTAAGAAAAGATCGATTAATTTTAAAGAATCTACTATTAAAATTAAAGTTACATCGCAACACATCGTATAGTTATCGAGATCTATAATATTTTAAATTAAAATTTATTTTCTCATTCCGCGTGGGCGATGAAGTGGAAGATGAAAGCTTAATTTGCCATGAGAATACCGTAATGGGGAAACTATTACGTGGAAGAGATCGAATGCAGGCTTGAGAAGTCATTGGATGGACAAAATGATTTTATCGTGCGTTGTATATTTTTATTATTGAGCATTATTACATCAGATTTCGAAATAGTTCTCATGGCGAGAGATGTGGCGTGAGAAACTTAAGCTCACTGGTCTTATGTATCCATCTTGCGTGTCTTTTACTCTCGCTGCTATTACGCTGTATGTTTCGCATTATCGTTCGCGGCTCATCGCCGACACGTTGCCCTTATTGCCGAGAGTTAATCTTCCGATTCCCTGATTGGAATACTCGAACTAACGGATACGCATGACGTAGCTTTCGAAGAGAACGAACATGGATGGAAAATCGATTTGTTATTGTTATTTCATGTATATGTCTGCACTATAATAACGATAATGCAAAATATTAATAGAATCTTGTAGAGTTTTCAGATTGAGATTTTCAAATTGACAAATATTATGTTCGCTATATTTTATCGATATAGGAACAATTTCAAAATATAATTTTTTAGTTTCATTTTCTGAAAGTTTGTAAACATATTTCAAACTCTTTCTTTTTTTGTACCGCTTTTACTTATCTTTCGGAATAGATAGCGGCGCGCGTTATACATATAGTCACTTTACACGAACTTTTTAGCGTGCATGTGTATGCACGATACGTTATCCGCTGAATAGACGTATCGTAATATGTACCACACCTTTCCATTATCGTGATAAGTCTGTTGTGAATTATAGTATGAAAAAAGGAGCAATCGCCAAAGTAAACTGAGTTGTCGATAAATTCCATCTGCCTACAAAAGAGCAAAGGAAGGACGTACGATGTAATTTGATAAGAGACCTGATTATTATTGAATATATGAGTATTATTTTCCAAGATTTTTTTACTAATTGCTTTAATTGCAATTAGTTTTTGTTTTACATTTCAGTGTATTTTAAACAAATGTATTTTAAACAAAAATTGTAGTCAATAAAATTAATATTTAATCGAATTAATATTTATACATGAAATGTTATACATGTATCTGTTTTAAATTTAAATTTATGCATACTTATTTAAAAGAATTTACGAAATAAATTAGATACACTTCTTAAATTCTTAATGGTTTATATATCTCTTTAAAGAATTATACGTTTCTGATGATATTTTACCGCAACATTAAGAAAATGATAAATTGCACGAAAATGCTAATTATAATAAGATTCTAATGTGCTAATGTAATTTATGCTTGAGTGA